TATTAGTTAATTTAACTAATGCAGATTTTTGCTTGTAAAAGCTTTAACGACGAATTTTTAGTAAAAACTATCATAAAAATTGGATTATATTTTACTTATTTATATAGATTTAAGTTTATCTATCAAAATTCATAATCAAAAAATCGAACGTTGTTGATGGAGGCAATGCTAAAAGCAACAATGAATATGTTTTACATATCACAGATTTCCTTAACCCTATTAATCTGTTCTATCAACCGTAATATTCTCGTGGATGTGCAGTTGGATGACCGAAATTTACTCTAAATTTTAAATCAATATAAAGTCACTATCAGAAATTTAACACCAATCAAAAATCAATCCCAAATTATATTCAACTGTCATTATGAGCAATGATTTAATCTGGTATTCTTATACCATAGTCTGTGTTCAAACTTATTATATGATCGATATTGTTTAATTGTCAATATGTTTAAAATGTTCTAAAAAATAGAAAATAAAAAATTTTCATAGAAAAGAGATCATACATTAACAGATGAAGTCATCAAATATCAGAGAAAAATTTTTTTAAATAAAATATTAATAAGAAAATCAATTAAGAATAAATTAGTAAGAAAAAAAATTAAGTAGTTTTGAATTACATAAACTTGAACAATTAGCAAGATTAAATGTTCTTAATAATATTGAACGCAATAGTTAAGTGAGCACTTGCTGTTATTGGTGTAATCTTCTAGATCATCAAATCAGATGAATTTAGATCTAGAAGGCTACACCAATAGCAGCAAGTGCTTACGCAACTGTTGAATTCATTGAATATGTCAATTATATTTCAGTGAAGTAATAAAAAATAAGTAATTGGACTCCTATATAATTGTATATAAAAAAATAATAAATTTAAAAAGAGCTAATATATTAGGTGTTGGAATTAATTCGTAGCGTTTTACAAGTGATGGGAAGTACTTTCATTAATGTATTTTTTAATGCTCATGTGAAATAAATAACATTCTTTCATTAAAAAACGCTACGAATTAATTCCAACACCTAATATATATATATATATATGCATGATCAGCGCTGTAAATGCGCAAAAAATTTATTATAAATATTATTTAATAGGTACAAAAATAATATAAATTTCAGACGTTTCGGCTGTCAATGTTAGCCATTTTCAGCAAATAAAATTAGCAAAATTTAAGTCTATATTCTACCATAATACATCTATATATTGTCTATACGAAAGTACATCTCTTTGATCTTGAAATTATAACAAACTATGTCCACTGTGAACGAATTCATAGGGAAGCACAATGTATTTCAATGTTATTGCCATGGATAACAAGACACGATATTGTTGCCATTTTATAAAAATTTTTTATCAAATAAAATTATATTCAGCAAACAATTTATAAATAAATTGCTACAAAAATTTATAAATAAATTATTATAATTCACTATACAGCCATTTGAAAGTACAAAAAGTTAATTGTTATAGAATGTATTTAACAAGTCTCTTGCTATTTACTGAATAAATTATTCGGTTAAATTAGTCTATACATTATTAAAACTTGTCATTCTAGTTCCTAATGAGTATACTATCATCTCGGTTAATTGGTCGCAAGTGTTAAACCACGCGTCACCGATCAAGTAGAAAATATAAAAAATAAGTAAAAAATTGTCATGAACGATTACAGGTTGTTGAACCGGTGTTGGCACGCAAGTCAGGTGTATCTCAATACGCGACCAGGCAACATTCTTTCGAAAACGAGCGTATAAGTAAAAGGGCTTTGGATCGAAGAAGAAGGGACGATCCGGAATGCACTTCTGAATTGTCTGCAAATCAAAAGCGTAAAGCGTTCCGCTTCGTTAATCATCACCGCGAAAATGTTTCAGCACACACACACACACACACACACATTCTTTCGTTTTTATCTCCATTTATCACTAAATGCAATAGTCTAATTCCAAATTTTATCGCGAATATATTAAGAACGCGTAAAAACTGAATACTCTATGAAAATTGCCATTAATGAAAATTAAATCTTTTTAAAGCTCTTGAGTAATCATCACAACCATATTCTTAAGAATCTTATCGTTTTGTTTCATCCAAAGTGTCTCTATTTATAAATAACACATAATAAAAATTAACGTGTCATTTCTTGCTTCTGGCATGACATAATTCAATATGGCTGTGATGGCTACTCAGGAGCCTTAATTTCAGAATCTTAAGTTTATAATTTACTAATAAAAAATAATTAAGTTTTTTTTACTTGCTTCAAAGTTAGCAATGAAACATGAGATTCTCTGCCTGTCAAATTTGATTTATTCATAATTGCTAATCTAATTAATCTTTACTTCCTATTCTTATTTCATCTTTTTCCCCAATTTTACTTTTCTCCAATTGTTTCTCTGTTTTACTTTCTTTCCCTCCCACGTTTCCGTATGCACCTCTTTGATCTTCCCTGCTTCTCATCTCCTTCCTCTTTCCTCCTTTCGCATCCACCTCCTTTCTTCGCTTCCCAGTTTCCTCACCCCACTCCCCCTCGCGACTCTCCCCGTCTCTCTTCCGTAATTCCTTTGCCCTTCCTCGTTCCCTCGTTCTCTCCTTTGTCTTTCCCGCCGCCTCCCTCTTTGTCTTTCTCGCTCTCTGACCCCTCCCTCCCTTTGCCACCTCCTCATTTCATTGAGAACGTCTGGTATGCGAGGGCTTTTTATACAGGAACGGAGCCTCCGCCACCGCTGTCCGGCCTAATGGCCGGCAAGGAGCAACCCGGGAGGCTACTCGTAAGGACTTTCGTGAGCCGCAGAAGGGGCCACGACGAGATGTGGCCTTCAACTTGCAGCCAAGGTTTTGAAGCTCGTGCATGCACGAACCCCGGACCCATCTATCGAGAAGGAAGCGAATAAAATGTTCCCATGAGGATTATCATCAAGGTTTGGCTCATCTTTAGTTATACTTTCAAGATACCGAGTCCATTCATAAATTTATACGTATTTATAACGTGTTGACTAACCATTGCATTTGCTTTGATTAATCATTGACGCAGATAAGATAAAAGTCGTAAAATATAGTAATAAATGTTTGAAGAAATGTATATCATCGATTGACAAAATAATTTCTATCTTGTTTGCTTCGAAATTCATTAAAAGCGAATTAGCCTTATATACGTGTCGATTCTTAGAATTTTGTGAATCTCTCGAAGATGCTGTATCATTGATTATGGAACATGCAATGGCATGTTTAAGAATTCATTGAGGCCTTTTACTCCCTTCTTACTTGCTTTAATGACGATCCATTTAAAAACTGTAAACAGCCTTACATGTCGATGTAAAGCGAATAAAAACTATAGTTACGCTAAAAATTAGTAGTAGATTTTAAAGTATATATATTATTTCATTAATTTTAGCATTGAAATAATGTATGAGTTTTAAATTATTTAATATTGTATATATAATTAGCGAGCATTATACAGGAATTGAAAAGTTCTACCATCGTACTATTTTTATACTGGAATTCTTCAATTTAATTTTTTGTGTAAAAAGATAGAATTCTGAAACTCTTTCTTATACTTTAATAATTATGTCCTTTATACATGGAGAAAAATATATAATTGAGAGATGGATACTTTACAAGATTATTTTTTACTTTATTGTAAGTAATTTACTTTACTGAAAGTATGATTTATCTTATATACTATAAGATAATAATCACTTGAAATGATGTATCATAATCATAATGTACTTATTATCTTAAATCTGCGGTATTTTTACTTTTAAACAAATAAAATTTATCGTAAAATATTCGATAAAAATATTCTGACTGTTTTTATCAAATTTGATAAATTTTATTTGTCTAAAAGTAAAAATATCATAAAAAGTACATTATGATTATAGTACATCATTTCCAATGACTATTATCTTATAACAAGATAAAACATACTTTCAGTAAAGTAAATTCTACTTACAATAAAGAGTAAATACTATTTTCAAGATTGACGAGCACAAACAACTCTTAGAACTTTTATACATATATATTTTTTACTAGTAGTAAAGTAAATTTTGTCAATGTAATATAATGTAATAATAAAGAAAAAATTGTCGATAAAGTAAGAATGCTTATCATATGACAATCTCATTTACCAGAAATGTAAAGAAAATTTTACCTAAGTAGGCACGTATCACTACATGAACTCGATAATTCCATAAAGTTTACTTTAAAATTCTAACGTATGATACTGTACATTTTTCTCCGTATACTGATAAAATATTTTGTTTTTCGTCACTTTATTTATACAGTAATTTATTCGCTTGATCCTTTTAGGGGGTTGATACTTCCAATGTTAAAACTATTAGGAACTTAGGAGTCATACTCGCTCGCTTTCCACGACGCGTAATTTACGGTGAGATATTTGCCTATCGGTATCTCGGATACCGAGCGAATACAGAGACATAAAAGACACGGAGAAAGACGCCGATGTGGGATATTCGCACGACAGCTCGATGTTTCCGCAATACGACGCGGCACGTAACGCTGATTGCACGTGTACACACGCGCGGTTGCAAATCACGGTCCATGTGCAAAATGCATCGCGCTGTGCGGTGTGTTTCTGATCGCGGGAGGCCTTCTTCGCGGTCTCTCACGAAGGCGAACGAGGAGTAAGGGCCTTCTCCATCATGCGCAGACATCTATGGACATTCTTAGACGTCTCTCGGGCACAGCGGCGGATTTAAATTGTGTTCCTTGGAAAAAAAATTGTCACAGTTCTTAATGTCTAAAAAAAAAATATCTTAATGTCTTAAAATGTTTTGAAATTGAAATGAAAAAGAAAAAAGATTGGTTGCGTTCAGCGAATTATTCTCTGCAACTTGATAAGACAATAGATTTCTAGAAATTATTGCGCGAATTTACAAATAAATGATACTTTTTTTCAATAAATATACATATCCTTCAGTGATTATTACAATATTTTTCGTATAAAAAAATTTAAAAAATTTGTTTTCCTTACTGTATATTGTGACTGTTTTTTTTTCCATACTAACATTCGGAGCGCAACTTGAAACCAAGAGGGATTAGAAGGAACCATCGGTTTAAATCTCCATTTTCCTTTTATCCTCATTCTACGACCTCAGGATCTCTAAGCCTCGCAAAGATGAAGTCTTAGTTGCAAATAAGGTTTGCACTTGTAACAAAGACGGCCATTGAGTCGACGCGGGAGCTATTAATTGCGATTGCTAAGCAAATGTGCGCGCGCGCACGAGACAGGATTCGCGAAACCCGTACTCTCGTGAAATATGCGTGGTCATCCTTCTCCATCTATCCCTCTCTCCGCACGTCCTTCGTAACGGACTGTCCTTCCTTCGCTGGCAATTCCTTCACGAGTCTCGCCGAAACATCCTGCCTGCACCGGCTAACGCCTTTTCCACGTATAAGAGTCTCGACGACGCCGATCCCGGGCGCGCTCGCACTCGCGCTTCGCGCCACACAAAGCCGTGGGCACCATCGCACCGTCGCCGGCTCACATGTAAATCACGTGTGCCACACACGAGGCGCGCGGTATTAACCGGTGGAAAGAACCAAGAACACGAGAACACGAGAAAGAGGAGGAGGGAGAGAGAACAAACCGACATCGGATCCGGTAGACGCGAGAGAAGCTCGCACATTCCTCGGAAGATGTGAGGTACGGTGTTATATAATAGCAGTGAATGCGCACGAATGACGTATTAATTTGATTGTTGCCTTCTAAATTTAACAGAAACTGGAGAACTAAGCGCGAAAGCACATTGAGAAGATAAAAAAGTTTCTAAGAGGAAATAGAAGAAGATAGATGACACAGAAGATGTCACGCTTACGAAAAAAAAAAAAATCTAGCAGTAATAAGATTTGTATTTTTTGTTAATGGTAATTATTTTCCTGAATTCTTACAAATATTTATTATTCGTAAGAAGAAAAAAGTAGTCTTACATATTAACTTTTAAAGCACAATTATTTTATTAAAACTTTTTGACTTTACGAGAAAAGGTTTTCTTGAAATTTTCTCAAAAATACATAGACATTTTACTACTAGACATTTCTTGATATTTAACAAGTGATTGTAAATAACATTCATAATAGGAATACAAGAAATATGAGCCGTTTCTGTGACTGACGTCGCGAGTTAAAGGTTAATTATAAATGGCATTTAAATGTCATTCACACAAGTCTCAGGATTTTAAGTGTGTTTGCGTGCGTGCGTGCGTGCGTGTGTGTGTGTGTGTGTGTATTGCATAATATATATTAGCATATTCTATTATATATTATAAATAACATATATAAAAAATAAGTAAATCATAAATAATATAAAAGTCGGATTAGTTATGAGAACAGTAAATGATGGTAACACATGAAAAGATTCTGAAATTTCTCTCATTTTTAGCTTAAAGGCTTTAGAAGAAGAAGAAGAAAAACAAGAAAGGAAGAGACAAGTGTTAGTGTCGTTACCAATGTGATACTAGCGTGCCAGACAGGTTGAATGATTCAAGGATGCATACCAATTGCAAGGATGCATCCGTTGTAAATTGATGAGGAAGAACAACGGTTGTCCACGACAATACGTGAGTCTGCGAACGTCTAATCGAAGTTCAGGAATCCGTTACAAGAAATCAATTGCGAAAAACAAATTTTTACGCCGAAATATCTTCAAAATAACTCGTTAATTTCTTACAATTTTAATAAATCTAATATAACTTTTACAATATTAATAAAATTGTAAGAAATTTTATTTTTTTATCAAAAATTTTTAAAATATAATGGTTTCATATTTCATTATATTTTCATCGTATCTAATTTTTAAATTGCGTCTTTTGATAAAATAATTATTTGTTCTACACATTGCTATTTAATTCAAGTATACATAACATAAAATATTTCAGTAAACAAAATAATGATAACTATTTGTTTCTTTAATTTGCGAGATGGAAGAATATAGTAGAACAAATTTGAATAAACAATAAACTACTTATAAACATCATACAGCGTGATAATATTTGCATCTAAATATGTGGGCGTGAGAAACAGCCTGATAAGTACACGATTTTTCATATGATTACCTTGAATCGCGAGCGTGCCGTTCGAGGTTGTCTGGTCGACGTAGGCGTGCAATACCACATGCGGCATTCTCTTTTTTTTTGCAACAACCATTTATTACTTCATTTAATCAAATCGATATTACAGCGCACCTTTATTCTTCCTTCACTATATTCTTTCGTAATCTAGCGAGAGAGAGAGAAAATCGACTTCCTTATTAATTTTCCATCTACAATCTAGATCTTCATTGGCATAAACAAACTCTCAAACTTCATTCTCAAAGAAGGATGTTACAAAAAGATTTTTGCTCAAAAAGAAGCAAGTAAAATGGATACTTTTTGTAGATTTCCTGGATAAAATTATTAAAAAGAACATTGAAATTTGATACATCACGGTTGTGTTTAATTTTTGAGATGTTTCCCAAACGCTACGAACCTTTTTAATAATTTCGTCGTATCCAGGAAATCATAAAAATTTTGTTAAGAAAAAGAATCTTAATTAAATAAAATAAAAAAAATCATCTTCCTTTATCATAACACAATCTCACAGACTTTATACGTCTATTATCAGCTAAAAAATTCAATAGTTAGAAGTAGATGTCTATTACTTGCGACTTTTACAATATTTGCATCGTAGTTCTCTCCACGGAGCAAAGTCACATCACACGAGAGGCGTTCTTCACGAAGAAAAGAAAAAAGCGCTGCCAATGTTCGTTCATTCATTCATTCATTCATTCGCGTAATATTTTATTCGCGAGAGAGTCGCTATGTATCCAGCACTCGATAGGATGTTCGCAAACATTCGCGATGCGTTGGCGAACGTGAAACTCGCCATGTTTGTTGATCGTGAGGAAGGTTCCGCGACAATAGAGTGAGACTGCCGACTCTTCGGCGCGCGAGCGAAAAAATACGGCACGTGTGTTCGATTAGCCAGCTCCTTTGTCGTAGCCAGTAATCATGCACCACCACCACCAACATCGGAAGCTGTCATTCATGAGAGCCGAGAGAGATCACGCCGCGCTGATCTTGCTGGCGGAGCATCCCAGACGAAGCCACACCGTCATCCGGTCATGCTGCGTGCGATACACACCCGCAGCGCAACGCGAGTATCATGTTTTATTTATAGCCGGCGACATGCCGTCTTAACAATGCTCTTCCCTCGAACCATTTTCCGCGAAGAGATAAACGGTGCAACGTCCCTTGATCCGTCAAATTTTTTTCCTTAACGCCACTCAATTGTAGAACGTGATGATCCGTAATCGATTGAGAATATTATTAGAAAACTTCTTCCTCTCTTCTACCTTTTAATTCTGAATTATTTTCAATTATTATAGATGTCGTATGATATAAGTTTCAATAAGTCTTTAATTCTTCGAGTAATGATAATGTCAGATGCTTCAATCTGTGGAGGACACTTTGAGACAGTATCTTACAGCAACTTGAACGATGAAAAAATCATGCCACGCCATTCTCTCTCAGTTTATATTTTTATCACTGTGTGACGTAAAGGCGCGAAATTATCATGCAGTCCCGAGGCGCCGTGAGGGAGGCTCGATCTCGAAGTTTCGCCTCGGTAGAATTTCATCGCACATCCCTCGCGAAGCGCATATTTACGATTCGATACCGTTAGATATCCCTTCTAACTTTATTCTTGAAGTCGCCTTGCGGGTATCAAAACATGTCAATTTTTTCAGCGAAGAAAGCGGGCGTGTTTTGCTGCACATGCGTCGAAATGTATATTTTGCAAAGTGCAACGTATAATAACTGATAGATATCCTTATGTGAAGTTGTACTTGTTTTCGGTAATTCATATAATACTAAAATTGGAACGATATCTTTATGTAAGTTATATTGACATATTTATATACCCAGACTGTAGAATTATATCCTAGAAATGTTTTACGATTATTTTTTGAGAACTTTGGAGTATTCTTAAAAAATACATGTAAAATATAAGAGACGTTCTAGAAATATACATATTCATAGCATGTTCAATGAGACTGTTCTCCTAATTTTAGAAAAGTTTAGAGAATGTTCTATCAAATCATTAATAGTATATTCTCAGAGATATTCTCAGAGATGTTGTTAAAAATTGATTGATTGCTACAAATATTTCTAGAACATTTGTTATATTTTATACGTATCTTTTGAAAATATTCCAAAGTTCCCAGAAAATATTTATAAAACATTTCTAAAATATAATTACTTTTTTTAGATATTAACGTCTACAATTATTGATCTGTCATTGTTTTTTATTATCCATTTCAAACAATTATGTGATTCTTTAAAAAGATTTAATAAATAAAGCTTTTTGATATAAAATCGTAATAGCAAAAGAAGTGCTAATCAAATCTCAAGCGTAGAATTGGAAATTCCAACAATTCCTCGACAATTTATAATAAGTTTTAATAAATATAATAATAATGAAAGTTTTTATATAAGAATCCAGATCGATTTTTCAATACTGCACTTGTTTTAAATTGATTCTAATTGCATGTGTCGAAAAAATTCTCCCAAGAGACTCGCAGTAATGTTATCAGTTCTAAAGTGGATATCGGATACCTTTGATCCAAACAACATTATCTGCTTTGCTGGAAAATTGCTAGGAAGTGTATTGGTTCGACGGCTATCATTACAGTGCGCGCGTTTGCGCAGGTAATGCTGCTTTTTCGCGCGGCTTTTTACCAAAAGGATGCTTTGCCCGGTCGGGGATCAATCTTGTCCGCGGCGAACTCAATAATCCTTTTCGGACGCTGCCGTACAATGTTAGCAATTTAATGGGGGTTCATTGTACCCGAATACCCGCGCCTCCCATAGTGGTCGTTAATCAACAACCGGGGGGTAAAGAACTGGCGAATTTTGAAGTATAATGTCGAGGTGTTGGTGAGAACTGTCAATTATTTAACTTAATTACTATACTCCTATCTAAATAATACTTGTTATGAATTTCTTGAACTATGAATTTTTAGACTAAGGAAATATTATTTAAAATTTTTCAGGATTTGAGAATTTTTTTCTTATTCAAATTTCATCTATTTATATTCCACAAAAGGGAGAAAAAGAGAGCAAGAGAGAAACTTAATTTACTAAAATCCTTCTATTTTCAATTAATTAAAATAAATTATTTAATTTAAATTCTTTTAATTTTACTTTTTCGTACTTCAAATTCGAAATATACATCTTTTAGAACGCTTTGTATCGTGTAAATTTATTCTCTATGTTACATTATTTACATTGTAAATAAATAGCAATTAAAAATTAAATGTGCTGTAAATAATAGATTTAATCTAAAATCTAAAACTTCAGCAAATATATGGTCACTTAAATATTAGGAATGTTGATTGAGCAGTTATTATAATTGATCATTAACTATCAATAAAAATCACTGATTATCAGTAACAATCATTAATTATCAACAACAATTGTATTAACAATTCGATGATTTAAAATATTTCTGCTATAGGAGCAGTGCTAAATCTTCCTGGCAATTTCCGAGAGAGGATCGCATCCCGGCATGTTCGATAATTGCTCGATCCTTCGTTGTAGCCCACGAGCGGACCCGAAGTGGAAACTGGACCCGTTGCGTTTAAAGAGCTCGGGACACCAAAAGGATCAATTTAGAAATCAGTCGCAGCCGGTCTGGTTAAACCGGTCGCTCCTGCTCCTTGCAATTCCTGAATCGCTAGAAAAAAATCCACTACGAAAAACGCTAAACTAACTACTTGGCACGTTACTAATACCGTATAACCGATAAAATGATTACAAAGTCTCTGGTAATAGCGAAAGTAATTAGGACGAGTTAGTGTCGATCTCTCTGTTATTATCGCTTCCTTTCCTCGTTAATCCAGTTTTCATTTTTATCATTTACTATTGAATTCTTATCATGCAAGTAAACTTCCGCGTGCAATTATCGTTGGAATTTTAATTATTCAGACCTGTTAGGAGGAATCATTGAGGGTTCCATTGTCGTAGTGGAATTCTTAAATTGCTATAATGTTTATTTAAATGTAAATATCGAGTTCTATCCATGTCTCATAAATTGTCAAAAACAAAACAATAATTTCGCAAAAGTATCTAAAAATTTAAATACATCTAAACATTTAAATACAAAAGTAATTTATTGGACTGTTAAAATAATTATATAAACACTTAAGTTTATTGTTAAAATATCAAATTTTTTGCAATATTGCTCACCATATTTAAATTTTGTCTACATAATTATTTTAGTTATACAAAGTTATTTTTAAATTTGTATCTAACTAAATTTTTAAATAATTCAGCAAAATTTTTCCCATATGTGGTATGTTTATGGTAAACAGAGATAAAATGTTAAAAAGATTATTTTAATAATTTTACTTTTTAAAATTTTACAAAATGTCTATATTAAAATAAAGACGAAGAAAAAAGAAAACATCAATCTCCTGTAGCATCTCGAAAATTTAATAACACTACAGTTTCGATACTTTGTTTCTTTAGAGCATTTCTAAACTGACAGAGCATCGACAGGTATCCGAGACTGGATGAATAATGATATCGGTAACGATACGCGGCGAAGGGTTCCTCAGGTTATCGATCGTCGCAGGATACGTCGCAAGGCCGCCAACCATTGACCATTAATTTAATTGCGAAATCGCGACGGCAGGATGTGTGCTCCGAATGCAACGGTGATTGTTTCGATGCGGTATGCCGGTGCATCCGATGCAGGAATCCGGCGATGCGGGGGGGCCCCGTCGCGCACGCTTCGGAATCCTGCGTCGTGCGAACGGGCCGTAGGGCCCGAGACGCGAGCCCGAGGAAAAAGGGATCGCCACGAAGGATCTCTGGTTCTGGACACCGCCCCATTTTCAGCACGAGCGAAAAGCGAGTCCGAAGGCATTTAAAATTTCAGAAATAAGTACTTGAAAAAAGTTACTGATACTTTTGCGTTAATACACGAATTATTTTTATACAAATTATTTGTATAATATTAATATTTCAATGATATACATGTATAGCGTATCTAATAAGTGACATGTATTAAATAGATTAGAAATTTATATCTTTAGATTAATAATTTCTATTTTTGTTATATTTAAAATACCAGTTTTGTATTGATATTTCTTTTCGGGAAGATTGTTTATTAATCTCGATTTAATAGATACTATAAGCTAATTTTACAAAAGATATGTTAAAAAATCCTTTATATACTTAAATATTTTCTTTTTGTAAATTCAGAATGCATGCGAACATCCGACGGAATGCCCAGATACGACCGGACCACTTTCGTTATTTCCGTCCCTTTATTCCTCGCTGCGGTATTTCTCGGACTTCCCTCGATCGCATGTCGAACTTCTCAACGCGACCGCTTATGCGAAGTTCGGACCATGGCAGTGATATCCATTCATTTCGCCGGTATTTGGATGCTTGGGGCAGAGAGCGAAGGCGATGAGCAGAGAGAGCCGGAGAGGAATCCGATAATCTCTTTAGCAGGGTGTCACGTAGGTGCTGCAGTTACGCGGCAAGTTTTTTCGTTTATCACATACGAATCGGGGAGGCCTTCTTCCTTCCAGCCGGACCGTGGGATCAAACAGGATTTCACAGACGAGGCGCGGTAACCGAATACACGCCGATCCCGAAGCCGTCTCGAAGTCCATCGAGAGCTGGTGCGTTTCGGGCCCGAGAGATGTAGGTATTTTTCCAAGATCGATTTACCGAAGGAGAATTCATTTTACCTTGACGCAACGTTTCGTCACGCACTTCGCGGTAGCCTAAGCTAAGTGTTGCTAATCGCGTTGCTCGTATTTTCATACGCGAATTTGTCCTCGGTACTTCGATCCGCGATATCCAACATTATATTTTACTAAGCCGAGCGTTTATTCGAAAAAAAAAGAGAATTTCTCTTTATGTTACTATTCGTGATATTATAACTCCGTTTTTGTATTTTTATTCAGAACTGATACAGAACGGAAAGAACGGTTTTGCTAAAGTTTTGAAAATTTAGTTAGATTATTCCAAAAAATAGTAATAACTAAATATTCACTTATAGTAAATAAATATTTACTCAATAAAAATAATAGTTAAATCAAATTAATAGTTCTTGTACTTTATATATACATATTTTTTTAATTTAGTAAATATTTAATTAGTACTATTCAAACAAAAATATTTATTTAAAAAATTTAGTAAATTTTTTCAGTATAATCTTAATTCTTATTATATTTTAGATACTTCAACAAAATTATTGTTTCCGTGTATAAATAAATAAGAAAAATATATAGAAGAATATTTGCGACTTTTTCTTTTCAACTCATCTGATTTTTATACGATAGCCGCCAGTACGGTTTCTCACGCTCTTGGCGATTTTATAGTCGGCCTGTTTCCTTCTCGCCGGTTGCACACAACAAATAGCGCTATCGGTCCTCGTACTCGCGCTTGGAGGCGCAAGAACTATAGTAACACTCGCAACGGGTGATTGTCACCTGGCCGTAGGAGTGTTAGACCGTGGAAGCGTCTTATCGCGTATATATACGCCTGCGACGTGCTACGTTTATCGCACACTGGGCAGGTAAGCTCAAGCGGGCGTATCTCCGTATTACGACCGTACGGACTGTTATTTGTATCATAGCGATGACCAATAATCGTAAGTCGGCGATAGTATGTACGGCGTACTGGAAGAAAATAGGTCGCGCGCGTATACAATTACGGCTACAGATATGACTGAATGGTCTTTAAAAATGACAGGCAATTTAAAAACCCGTAAAGTCTAATTCTTGTAAAGTCTCATTCTACAATTGCATAAGTGTAGTTGTAAGTGGCTGTATTTGTAAAAATTGACCAATCACAGCTGAATATTTTTTTCATGTCCGACTATGATTGGTCAATTCTTATAACTACAACCATTTACATACTCTTGTGCAATTGTAGAATGAACTTAAGCATCATTTGTCCTTATTTATAATATTTATTTAATATAAATAACAAGGATAAAATGATGCTTACAGTGTGTGAGCGTACAAAGCGAATGCACTTCAGATGCAAGATTAATAAAAGCCATTTAAATGTCAGTCTTTTAAGTTGCTCTTTAAATTCCTCGGGGAACTTTAAAGCTTTTATAAATTATATATAAATCGGCGCTGTAATTTGTGCGTTTAAATAACTAACAGACTTTAGTGTCTTGAAATGGTATTTTACATTAATGCATGTATGTACACGTTTCGGCTAAATTCTAGCCTTCTTCAGCGTGGAAACATGATGAGTTTTCGCTATGCGATCTGCACACGTGAGAACCTTTGGTTATCTCCCATACATTTTACCATGGCCAGTTGATATACTGGATGGTCTCATGAAGATTGAGACCTCAGGATCACGTATGCAGAAAAATGATAATAACATAGTATAAAGTTCAGATAAAATTATATAAAATGATACAATGTAAAACGTATTGTAAAGTGGATGATATAAAATTAAAAATAGACAACGATCTTGATAGTTGTGTATCACATATTAAAAATTTTAATTAATTTAAATTAATTTTTATAAATTACACGCTTTTTTATTTCTTCATTTATTATATCGCTAAAGTGAATAATATTTTTAATGAATTTTATGGATATTTACCCTTACAAAGATGTAATATACTAGTCAATTTAATACTGACTAACTTATTACTGAAAAACAGTAATTAATTATTTATTAGGAGTACTAAAAACTGAACAACAGCTTTTAATACTTAAAAAGAATAATTAATTAATAATTGTCTTTCAGTAATAAATTGATCACTATTAAATTTCTGTAAGAATTATATATTTGTTGCAAATCTACGATTGAATTATAATGTTACATACACTAAGAAATAACACAAAAAAATATTTTGCTGCCCTAAAATTATAGCTGTTTTTTGTCTGATAGAAAATTATGTATCATACAAATAGAATTGTATGATACAATTATGTATCATACAATTCTATCTCTGTCATCTATATGATTATATTATGTAATACATATCCAATATTGCAGTACTTGATAGAAATTTATCAAATTTAGCTATTTTTCGTACTTAGATAATTTTCGCTATAACTGCAAGATCACTTTTTTAGTGAAATGTTTTAATTAAACTTACAAAAAAGTTCAACAAGAATAGCATTTTGATGAGATTAAATAGAATTTCTAGCCTCAAAGTAACATTTTTGTTGGATCTTTATGTTGATTCAATTAAAACATGTTTTTCAGTAATATAAAATTAATTAAAGTAGCTAATGGCATCGCGACAAGTGATGAGAGCCGCTTGCTCGTGGAAGATTATTCTTACACAGTGTCCGCGACCTGTTTCGATCCTGACACACCGTGAAGTGTGTAGAGACGACAATTCTTCGAAGCCTTGAATATATTTACCCATGGACCAGGTCACTGTCTCAATACTCCCGCCATTCAACTAGAAATTCTCAACCTGTGGGAATGTTCAGGTAGGCATGAAGAAGAAACTGACTGAAGTGCAACGTTTCTCTAAAATTCTTTAAGAATACATGGATCTTCGAACGATGCCTCGCCGACAATACCTCCCAAAGTGCTCATTGATCTCAAAAGACGAACAAATGAACCTGAAATTCCGACAAGTTCCCAGGAAATTCAGCGCTACAGTCGAATCTAGCACAGCCACGCGATTGAATGATCGAACGCAAACTTCTTTTTTTCAGCAGATCGATCGATAAACGAAACACACAAATCGCAATGCTTGAAAAAGAATCGTACTGCATCACACATCACGTATGCATGTAAAACAGCAATTCGCACGTTCTCGCGTGCGGATATATATATAGATA